TTCATCGGTGGAGGAAAGAGCTAACAGTTACAAAGCAAAAAACGTTTAACAGCAAGAAAAATTGCAAGAAGTACTCAGGAATATCCATTTTTGCTACATTCTTTAAAAAATTAGTTTCAGTTTGTCACCGAAAGAGAAATAAGAAAAAAAAAATAAAACTTTTTACCAGCACAAAAACACTTAAAAATCTGCGTGTGTAATAAGTATGGTGTTTACCACACAAGACAAGTTCTAAAAATATGTATTTCATAAAAGAATATATACTTACTTGATCGTAGAATTGTTCGTGCGTCTGGGCAGTCGACTTACGCTTGGGTGCCTTCATTGGCCGATTGGATTTAAAAATCGAGGTTCGCCGATTAGCGTACTTGTTAATGACTATACTCCCAAAAGATCTTCGAAAGCTAAAAGCCTGTATATTTCAACATCTGCTAAAAGCAAAAACAGTAAACAAATTTACTTCTGTAACAGGATAATTCTGTACCCAGAGACAAATTTAGACAGATTTCCTACAAAGCTTTCGCTAATAACGATCAATAACCTTATGGAAGCTAAAAATTATAAAAAGTTATCTTCTTAGCAATTACCAAAAAGGCAAAAGTTATAAATTAGAATGTCAGAAGAACGAAATTAACAGTTCATTTGCTTACCCGCTACCAAATTTAGAAGCCCTAGCGGCATTTCTTGCCGAATTCCTCCTTGCAACAATTCCCGTTGTGTATAGCTGAAAATAAGTTAGGTAAAGTAAGCGGAAACTAACACAAAAAACTATCTGAACTTAATTTATCTCAGCAATCTTGAAGATGTAATATAATGAAGAAAATCACGTGTAACCTACGGCACAAAAGTGCAGCTAAAGGAAAATAATGAACGTATATTAACTGCCATAAGTTAAATATAGAGAAAAAACTTAAAGTCTGCTAGTAGTTTCCAAGCTTCCTTTAAGACAATTAAAGCAGCTATTTGCCCAAAAAATTGAACTTCTTCAAAGATGACCAGCTAAACAATACTACGACAAGAGACAAGCTAAAAAATCTAACTTTTATCCTGAAAACCTGAAGCTCTTACATTTTTTTTCGACTTTTACGGAACACTACTTGTTGCGCAACTTATCTTCTGGAAAAGTAAAATAGAAGCAAAAGTTATGACCGACCTCGTCACGCCGACGCTGTTTACCGTTCTTCTTTTTACCATTGTTATGTAATGACGACCCATTTGAATTATTACTTGATCCCATAGCCAACGACGAGCCAAAAGATCACTTTTACCTGATATCTCGTGTAAAACTGATCACAAACACCCTTCTGATCGAGCACCTCACGCCTCCCGCACGCGGTCAACTTTATTCAGAAGTAGGTGCACGAAGGGAAAGGATATTCGCAGTTCACAACGATTTCTTAAAGCGCATCTTGTAACAAAGCACCACCAAGTAAAAAAAACTACATATCAACAAGTAACTATAAAAACTGTTGACTACAATCCTTGGCTTTCAGATGCCAATTAAGTGAGGGTTTTTAATAGCAAAAATTAAATCGACACGGGCAACAGCCCTCACAACAAAATCAGAAAGGATTGGAATTATGATGAAAAATTCACCGAAGAAAAAGGGTTAACTTCTTCATTCCAATGGAAATATTTCTCTCTATTTCACAGAAGGAAACTCCAATATTTTGTAACATACACTAAATATCTTACAAATTCAACACAGAGAATTAAACATATAAATATTAACTAATAAGTCCGTAGTCAAAAGCATGATTTTCGATAAAGCTGGAAATAAATTCATGGCAAGTCTTCTGTTTCAGGAACAGTTACCAAATTATTTCACAAATAACTAAGAGAGCTTTAACGTGACTGAGTGATCAAAACAGTTGCTATTTTATTGAGAAAGTAAAGAAGACAAATAACCAACTTTTTCGTCATATACCACAAATGTGGGACCACCACACAATCCATTCAATCGGATCTCCATTCAGTCTTATAAAATCGTGCATACGTTAATTCCTGAGAAAAAAATAGAGAAAAATAAAGGTTGGCAAAACATAGTAAAAAAAAATTTCCACGCAAGAACATTTTTTACTGCTGGCTATTTTATATCGCAGACGAAAAAAAACTCTCGTAACTTTATCCCGGCTTGTTCTGTCAGTATACTATGAATAAAATTTCTTTAACCAAACAAAAAGCATAGCAATAATCAATGACGAGATGGAATGCACATAGCGCAAAAAAAAAAAAAATTTAACTACGCAAGTCATATATGCAATAACGGCTTCGTCTGACGATAACCGGGTAACTGGTGGGAATACTTTGAGCATCATATAGCTATAAATAATGCTCTACACAATGCTTCTATCCTTCCACCAACGACTAAATTTTCCCTCAACAAATACTAACTGTACGGAAACAATCAGTACAACAGAACTTGAAAAAATAAGTGCGAAAGGCATTAAACTTTATAGTCCGTAATTTCCTCGTACTAAGCGGCAAAAAGAAAAAAAATTTTTTTTTATAAAGTCGATATCCTACGTAATTCTAGGGCCATCAAGATTACATTATCGCTGAACAAAGTGCACAAAAAGTGAAAGAAAACTGGCTAATACACTGTCGATCATTTTGTTCACCTAACCACTATCTTCAAACTGCTTTATAATCTTAAATCGAGAAAGAAAAACACTAATAAATAAAAGAAACTTCACAACAAAAAAAACTTCACATTACTGATCGTAAAATAAAGGAAGCTTAAAACCAATAAAGATTTCACTACATTATCTGTAAAAGTTTCAAACCACAGCGCACTCCTACTGACATACTCCACTAAGCATCCTTTTTTTTTTCTTTTTTTTTTTCTGTACCAAGAAACCTTTGGTAATTCTTATACAGACTCCTTCAGATACCGCTGTACACATACAAATTTGTCTATAAAATAAAAAATGCAGGAAAGGAAAACTGTTCTAGCCGGGCAACCAGAACCATTTCATCAAAAAAAAAAACTAAATACCATAAAAATGTAACCAACACATTCATCTTTCTTTTTGTACAACCTTACCAGGCCTCCAATGAGCAGAATTTGCTGTTGAAAAATGATGTTCTTGAAAATTAGGTCGACCGCAATCAAGGATCAAGGAAAAATATCGGCTTTGCCCACAATATTTCCCACTGCGCTGTTGCCTTTTGGCGCCAGTAATGTATTGTTGGCAAACTTCCGACATGTCGAAAGTTCGTACTAAATTCAGACCCCAAATTTGCGTACTATGCGTAAAGGTCTGCGATTTAACTTACGGTTTCAGCGCATATAGGTCCGTTTCCACCATTCTTCGTGCATTATTACATCGGAGACACTGCTTAATTTTCTAATCAAATCACCACCTGGAAACATTTAAATATAAAGTAGAAAGTCACCACACCTTTTTTTTACGACTTGCCACTAGAGTTCCAATTCATAAAAGTAACCTAGTTTTGAAAATCTTGAAACAGTTTTTTGAATTGAATGTTTTAGGAATACTGACAGAAAAAAGCTCATTTCGAGCAAACGCTCAACTGCTATTAAATTACTGGTTACTTTATGTTAAATAGTTGTCTGGGTGCTTAGTGTCACTGACTCGCTAGAATTCATGCAGATAAATGCTATATTTTCTGATAAGATTTCTTGCTTGTTTTTTTGTTATGGGGTGACAGAAGATGCTGATTACTTTTGAGCAAAAGTATTTCAAATTTTCAAATTGAGGTCTTCTAAAACAGTGATTTTGAAAGAAGATGACTCAACGGAAAGAATAAGGAATATTACTTCAAAATTTTTTTCGGAATTTCACACATTCTGGATGATTTAGGAAGCTTGAATTTCTCCCAACCATTGTTTACTTTTTTCAGTTGTTTCTTATATCATTTTCCTTAATTTGTATTTGGTGACCGCATCTTAACGACTGTTTGAAGAATTTAAGTGATTGTTTTTTTGGAGCCGTACTCACCCTTTACTTCACCAAGTGTTAAAACAGAATCGGTTTCAGTGATGCGGTCAGTATCAAAAAAGAAATCGAAAACAACCTAGTACATAACGAAAAAAATGGTATTTTTACCATTTAGAAATTTGATGGAACGCTTAGGAAAAAAAAAAGGTATTTTTGAGGAAATGAAAATAATTGCACTTGACATTAAGCAATAGACGTTTTGTATAGTTTGAATGATTTCCGCAAAAAAAGTTCTTCTTTGTGTTCGAATTCAAAACAAAAAAAGAAAAACCTTTTCTTTTTTTCTTTGAATAATTTTTGAAACATCAAGAAAAAATGTATTTGTCTTTGAAAATAGACAGTAATCATATGACAACAACAGGAAACTAGACATCGTTTGAATAAATCGTAGCAGATTGTTTTGCATTGATTGTAAGTGACAGTTTGGGCGAAATTAATTTTATGCCAAACAAACACTTTTGGTCCCTTAAAAGTTGAGTGATTGATGAAGAAAAGGTTGAGAGGCGAAAAAAACGTTTACTAAAACAGTAACAGCTGCAGCAACAACAACGTCAACAACGGCAACAACAGGAAAAACAACAGTTTTCAACCAGACAGTAATTGTTCATCGAAATCCTCAACAAGTATATGCTATTTTACAAGTCGCTCTTTTGCTTTTCATAGGAATTTTCACAGTAAGAGAAAATTTTTCGAATGGTAGTTATGCAAAATTTTTAAAAACAGTTTAAAGGGTATTAGAAAATTTTTGGAGATGAAGTAAGTACACTTTGTATGTGTTTGGTATGTATGTATTTTGAGTGTGTGCGTTACCGCACATATTTTTGGTGTTTATATCTTTATAACAGGAGAAAAAGTAGCAAGTTTAATTTGACGGTTGAGAGGACAAACTATTTTTGGGTGTTTAAAGTCACATGTGGTCTGAGTGAAAAACTGTCAAGCATTTAAACTGTCACTGACGAAATGATGCCAAAGGTTGAAATTTCATAAATTTTTATTTCGCTCTTTCTTTTACTAATCTAAAAGACAGGTAAGCGTTTAATTTTTGAGGATTAGTTGTAGCTGAAAACAAATACCTACAATGAGACTTGATGATTTGGTTAGTTGAGCTGTATTTTGCTTTCGTTTTCGACGTTGTGAAACAGCTATCATAACTCAGATTTTCAAAATTTTCACCTGTGAACCCTTCCACAGGTTGCGAATAGTGATACACCTACACTGCTCCCTTTATTTCAGCAATAAGTCTTCGTTTCCTCAGTTTAATTTTATGTACAGGAAAAAAAAAGCTGTTTTTAAAATTTTTTTTCTTTTAATTTACAATTATTTTACTCTATTTTATGCAAAACAATTTGGACGACTTTTAGATTTAATCTTTTGTGAAAAAAACTTTACAATTTTTTTCTTCCCTTCTATTCAACAGTAAATAATAACAACTGATAATGTATCATAAAATGGTGGCTATGTCAAACTGTGGTCAGCACTGTTGTTGATATAATATGCGTATCAGCTTTCTCTTTTTGGAATTGATTGTTGAGAGCAATCAAACGACAATATTTTGTTGATGTTGATTAATGCTAATTTCAAAAATTTTTATCATTTTGTTGATTCTAAAATATTTTCATAGTGTAATAAACGTGGTTATAGTTGTTCGACAATTGTGTGTATTTTGAAGCAGAATAACAGTTTTTAAAACGAATTAATAGGCTAATGAGGCGAAGCAAAGCAATAATCAGGGAGGAAGAATAGACGACTGAAAAAAAAAAAAAACAAAGTTACTTGAATCGTGTAATGAAATAGATTTAATTTACAAAAATTCCTTCTTTCCATTTTTTCACGAAACAACTGTCGATGCAATGTTACCAACCAGATACTGATGAAACACAAAAAATTTGGCAAGATACAACTAACTCATTTAAAGAAACTTATTGTACCACTAAAATAACTTATAACTAAAAAAAAAAGCATTGCTTTTTTTTGCCAGTATCCAAACAATTGTTAATTTATGATGAGGAACTTTATGATTGTTCAAGATACTGAACAAAAAAAAAAAAAGAAAAACAGATAACACAAAAACAGATAACAAATTTTATACAAAAATAGATTTAGAAACAAGAAATTACAATTCGTTATTATTGAACAGTTGAAACAATCTTGATATTTACTGATAAATTTTATCAGCGAAACTTGATCAACCAAAATATACATAAAGCATATTTTTTAAAACACAACATTTGTACATATAATAATTTGATAACAATTATTTACAGGTATAATGAGCAAAATAAATTTGCTACCATACCACCGATATCAATGTTGAACCGGTAAAAACTCGTCTAACAAAACAAGTATGAACTGTAAAAATCAAAAAAATATATACATATATATCAGCACATAGACTTACTGAACGGCCATCCCAAATAACAACATTATGATTTCTTGATTATTTAAATGTTTAAGCTTAGTTTTACTGATAACCTAAACGTTGTTGTTATTTTTTTACTGGTATTTTATTCAATACATTTCCAACCAACTATTGCCCTACCAGTCAGTCGACGTTTCCAGTAACTGTTCTGTAATACCAACTGCAGCCAATTCACGCTTTACTCTATCAAAATATTGAGGATCTGGAAATCCGTATCTGCAATCGAAAAAAAATAAATATTGAAAAATCTTCTGTATTTATCCTCTTTCTTTTTTGTTTTTAAAACAATAATTTTATTCATTGAAACTAACTTTTCTGGTCCACCACTTAAACTTGTCTTATTATGAATTCCATTAAAAATAACAACATTTCGTCTGCCTGTTTCACAATCACCAACAGTAAACATTAACCGACTTGAAAATGCCAATTTGAATAATTCCAATATCTGCAATTATAATATGATCAAATTTGTTTGCTGTCTTACAGTATCAATACAGTTTGTAAAAAAAAAGAATAAGTACTTTCAAAATTTTTTACAACAAAATCGTTTTAATACCATAAAACAACAGAGAGCTAATCAAAACAATTACTTTTTTTCCTTCGCTGGTACTTGGTAGATAAGCATAACGACGTACTCCCGAATATCGAAGGCCAGGTCGTGGATGTTCATACTGAAAAACAGTGAAACAGTTTGCCAGCAAAAATTATTGAATAATTCATTTTAATTGTTTAAACTAAATCTTTTTTTTTTCTTTTAAAAAACAATAAATAACCAACACAAACTTACAGTTTGTACACCACCAGGTAAAATGTATTCAATACAATAGTAACCATCGGCATCCGGAAATCCAGATACTTGACCAGCATGTTTTGTAACAGTCATGGTAGATTCTGCTGGTTGATTACCTTTTGGAACATTATACCATCTTTTACAAATTGGACAACGTTCTTGTAGACGACAAAATGCTTCCTATAATTGTATTAATGGTACAGCGAATGAAAGAAGAGAAAACTCTGCCAACTGGTTTATTTTTCTTTGTATTAGTTAGTAAAAGAAGATTAATGCGAACGCCGTAAGTTACATAACATAATAATTAAAAAATAAATCATAATAAAAAATGGTCCCTCATCAACATTAATATCAAAAAGAAAAAGCAAGGTAACCTCTAAACACGATCTGTGAAATGCATGACAACACTTTTTCAATTGTACGACAACGTCGTCCTCGTCATTCCGAAACAGTTTATCGTAACATATTGCACAAACATCATCTGCATCCATGTTACCCTTATAACTTCCATTACACACTAAAATAATTAGCACAATTCTTAATTCCATCTAAATAATTTGTCTCCATTTGTGACCTTTTATAATAGCCCACTTCATTTAATTGATTATTGTAAGCTTTTTGTTTAATATTTAATACCAAAAATTACAGTTTCTTTTTCCTGGCTCATCCAATGTTTTTTAAGCTCTAACCTAGCACTTACCAAATGCGTTATTTGACGGTGAAGGTATAACTTTGATAAATCGTTCCATTGACTTTCTCACATCTTCGTCACCTTTAGTGCCAAAATGCTCTGCAAAAAAGAAAAACTGCAAACAATTTTATTTAAAAGATGATTCAACGAGCACTTTTTTGTTTTACTGATTAATTAACAAATTGCTATGTTCTAACAGCTCAATTTTTTCAGTCTTCACAAGAAAAAATTAAAAATAAAAATAAAACGAAACGAAAATGTATACCAGAAGAGTTTTCGTTATTAGAAAACACAATAACATCTGCCATATTGTTGATTCCCTCGCTAAAACACTGTTGAAAAGCCTCAACAACTTCGGCATTCGAATCAATTATTCTAATAGACTGAAAATAGCACTCTATATTGATCAAATATACTTTGTAAACTCTTCTATATCAGTGAAGCAGATTGACTACGTTTACTTGTAATTCATAACTCTAGAAAAATTTGCAAGTTAGTTACTACATTAACAACTTACTTGCACTATAAAGCAGTATTCCAAACATTTAAATTAGCTATTACGATGTACGATTGAAAAATACACAGTATTTATATTGACTATACCTTTACTGCATCAAAATTTAGACCAGATTCAAATATCGCTGAAAAAGCAGCTCGGGCAGAATCTTTAGCTGTCCCTCCCAACCTTCCTATAAACAGGCTTAATAAACATCATTTTTAGCAAACTTATAAACAGTAAAAAAAGTTATTTCAAGGTATGACCTGTTCCAAAACCAGTTAAAGCTACAGCAGCCAATTTTCGTTGAACAGCAGCCTCAAAACCTTTCCTGTAGCATTCAGTCAAACCGGCAGCAGACTTTCGAGTCAGACAGACCAAGAGAACATACCAGGTGTCCAAATTACTGCCAGCATGAAGAGCTACCATTTGACCATGATAAAGATAATCAGATTCTAAGGCGAGTACTTGAAGTGTATCCTAAAAGCTTTAAGTGTTAAGTAAATTGACTGACAGTTTCACAGTGAATTCTGAAAACTTTTATGAATATTCCACTGTACAACTCAGAGGGAAAAACAGCGCAACACATATTCAGAAGCAGAAAACTATTGATACCATAACATAGCTGCCTCCAGCTCGTACAACAGCCTGAGCAGCGCCGTTTGAGCACTCCAGCGCCGTATCGCATGGAACGATATAGGCATCGGATACAGCTTTTGTAATATCCCCCTACAAAGTAATCAGTGTTTAGTCAAGCAGTTGTCAAGTTTCATTTGAAGAAAAGTTTCTGTAATTACATACTAAAGAAATACTGCAGGTCTTAAAAAACTAAATAAAATTTTAGTTCGACAGTTCAACTATTACGAAGTTATTCTGTAAATTGAAGCTAAAATATGGTCAAAGCGGTTTTTTAGTTGAAGCCTTTAGATTACCGCCTGATTCATGTAAATTGCTTATCCGTTAAAAAATTTTTTTCGTCTTTAAACAGAGCTTATTTTCAAAAACACTGAATAAACAAATCAGTCATATAACTTAGTAGATCATCAGGTGTTTACAACTTTAAAAAAGAAAAAAAAAAAGAAAAGAAAAGAATTAAATTTGACAGTTGTAATTTTTGCTTTTTTTTTCAGTTGCCATTTGCTGTGACAAAAACTGAACTGTTTTTTGTACAATGTTTGACTGAGAAAAACAGATATGAATTTACTTGTACATTTTTAGCACCAACTTGATACTAATGTTCACTTTTCACCTTTTTTTCTGTTTGTATTCTTAAAACTTTGTAATAGATGACTGTTTGAGTAAACAGTAAAACTTTTTTTTTTTTTAATTTTTGAGTTAAATTGACAGCAACAGCATTACTGACAACGAAAATTTAATAGTATTCTGATGTCTACTTATTCACCGTTATAGTCTGGTTTAAAAATCGCACAATTTTTCCAACCAATACTGTTCTGTGTTACTAAAGTCTATGTTACATGAAAATTTGGAAGGAAATGGGTGGAAGATTGAAGGTTTCATTCCAATTGAACAATTTCAGCATTTCTGATTTGGAAATATTAACAGCACCAAATTAATGATAATGAACACTAACTAATAGATGTACTAAACATAGCTAACTGTTAATGAAACTTTCAAATCAGTTCTGGAACTAGATCAAGCAAAAAAAGCGTATTTCTAAAAAACAATCTAATTTCTGAATAAAAAACTTGCCATCAATAGATGATCATGATTATCAGCTTTTTTTTTCTTCATCACTATTTATTCATCAATATTTATTTTTGCTGCTCTTTCCATTTTCCTTTTTTAGTTCTTTTTTTTTTTTTCCGTTTTGCCAGACAGTTGACAACACGCGTTGCACAATTGCAACCCATTTCGGTTTACAGTTCATTAGCCCGTAAACATATAATAGAAACAGAAAAAATCGTCGTACAAATGCCGATCATCTTAAAACATTTATCCATTTTTCTAGCTGATAGACTTTTTCAGTAAACTAACTAAAGAGAAACTTTCTTTTTCGTTTATTCTGCATTTTTATCTTCATTCTTAGTGACTACGCAGTGTTAAGTACAATAAATCC